GTCGGCCTCTCGGGTGCATTACGGGATAGGCACGTAAAATAAAATTGCAAAACTTTTCATTGATATCGACGCTATATGGCCACAAAGTTCGAAATTTACAAAATCGCCATTTTTCGATTTTTTTCTAATTACTTTCGAATTATCAATGTGTTAACGGTTTGAGATGTGTCAAAAAAATTCTGAATCTCTATTTATATGATTTTCAAAAGAATTGGCTAAATTGGTTCACTCATCAATAAAATATTCACATTTAAAAGTGTGACACATTGAGCCGGACACCCTAATAGTAACAATACTTTAGAAACTATGGCGAGCTTGAATTTGTAGGAAAAATTCACCAGTAGTAACAATTGTTGATAGCCTTTAAAGCACCAAGATAGAAAATCAAAAGTCAAATTATTCCATTTGCTTACTCGCCAACTAATGTTTGGATAGGAAGTACAGTCACCATTGAGATAATGCACCGCTCTGGTAATAGCTTATTTACACTATTTGTACAGATATTTTGTGGAAATAGACTTTTAATCATAAAAAAAATTAACAAAATCAAAATTATTTTGATCTAAGAGATCATCATAGGAACAACAGTTTAAATTGAGTTGGTTTAAAGCACTGAGTAATTCGGGAACTTCATCATTATCACTATTTACATGAGATTCATTTGTATTATAGGAGTCAAAATACTTGAAATGACACCAGCAGTTGGTTATTGTTTCACTGCTTATGTTTTTCCAAGATTGATCAACCCAATTTAAGGCATTTAAAATGTTTATTTTTTTAACAACATCGGAAATGTGATTAGCATCAATATTTTCAATAATATTTTTCATAAATAAGGATAAATATTTGGATTTAAATGACTTAATAATTCCTCCATCAAGAGGTTGAGTAAGTGAAGTAGTGCCAGCAGGTAAAAATTTGAATGTGATGAGAGGGAAATCTTGTTGTTGAATATTATGTCCTCTGAAATTGTCAAGGAGAAGGAGAATTTTTTTATTTTGTTGCACCAGAGTGGAGTGAAGATCACTGACCCAATCATAAAAAATTTCACGATTCATCCATGAATTAATTTGAGAAACATATTTTAAGTCCAGATCTTTGAGGCAATTTGAATAAAAACAACGAGGTTTAGCAGAACGGCTTATAACAAGTGGAGCCAATTTATCGCCATTTCGATTGACACAAAATAAAATGGTAATACGTTCGTGAAATAATTTATCACCAATGTGTTCTGTTTTGGAGATGAAATAAGTTTTTACTGGAGTCTGCCTCCAAAAAAGTGCGGTTTCATCGCAATTGTAAATAAATTCGTGTTGCCAATTGATCATTATTGTTGGAATCTGAAAATTTCTCCAATTTTCAACAATCTTTAAATTTATCGACAATCTTTCACAGCTGGTAGATCCTAATTTTAAATTAATCCTTTTTTTAAAACACAAAAACCAACCCCATGATCCTTTGGTTCCATTAGAAATTTGTTTGGTATATTCTATAATCATAGTAGCCGATATTGGAATGCCTTTACTTGCACAACTCATTATCCAGGCCTTCACTTTGGAATCAAATTCAATTAAATCAGTGTTTTTTTGGAGCCTGTAATAAAAAGAAAACTCATTATTAACTAGAAAAACAATTATTCAATTCAATTTCTTACCTCGTTATTTTACCCTGTCCATTGGTGAAGGCCTCTTGTAGTGGTTTTTTCTGTTTCAAAGTACGATTGATAGTCCATTTGGACACATTAAATTCAAAACTAAGGTCAAGTACATTTTTTGGTTGGTTCTCTTTTTCATCTAATATAAGATTTTTTTCTTTAATTGTTAAGTTTTTTCTTCTCATTTTTATTTACAACTAACATATCTAAAAACGTAAACAAATATCTAACTCAGGGCCGTTGAAAAAATGAGTGCATTATCTCAATGGTGCATTATCTCAATGGTGACTGTATTCAATTTAATAATCTCTTCACCTTCTTTTGAATTTCCCTCAATTGTCAGGTTAATCCAAAGAGTAACCTGGTTACCAGTAAACAACTTCATCTCTACATATGTTTATCGTGCATATCGAGGAGGAAACATTGACATGTATTTATTTGTTCAATTAATCATAACATCATTATCTCAACTGTTTTAGATTTTTAGTATATATTAAAGTGATATTTATGTTGTTGTCATTTATATGAGTATCTGAATGTTGAAAGTGCCATCTAAATTGTTATTATTGGTTAAAAAGTGCTCTTCATATAATATGCTTCAAGATTTCTACAATACCAATCGTTCATGGCATTTAACCAATCTCGGACGAAGCTGGCAAAACAACAGCTTTGCTCGCAATCAAGTGCCTGATAGGAATCAAAGCTCTATTAGAGGAGCTCGAAATGGAAACAATTGCAATGGAAATGTTGAATTTTCTATTATGTCCTACAATATTCTATCTCAAGACTTGTTAGAACAACATATTCAACTTTATCATGGTTGTCCTCGAAGTGCTCTAGACTGGCATTCTCGGCGACAAAGATTAGCCCGAGAAATACATGAATCCAATCCAGATATTATCTGCCTTCAAGAAGTTAATTCAAACCATCATGCACACTTCTACAAACCATTTCTCAACAATCAAGGATATGTTGGCTTTTATAAAAAAAGAACTGGATCTAAATATGATGGTTGTGCCCTTTATTATAAAACATCCAAGTTTACTTTATTGGACCATCTAGAAATTGAATTTTGCCGCCGTGATCTAACTCACCTTTTAGATCGAGATAATGTAGCAATAATCGGGGTCCTCAAACCATCTCAATTGAGTAACAATCAGTCTGTTTCAAGTCGATTAATTGTAGCCACTACTCATCTTCTCTTCAATCCAGCTCGTGGTGATATCAAGTTGGCGCAGATCAGGTTGCTTTTGGCTGAGCTAGATAGATTGATCAATCAATTGAGCCCTGCCGAACAAAATCAATGTAATGTTATTCTTTGTGGGGACATGAACTCTCAACCTGACTCACCATTTTATAAGTTCATCACTGAAGGTTACTTGAATACTTCGGGATATTTCTCTGGAGACATCTCTGGACAGGATTTGAAGCAAGGCCGTCCTTGTCGTCCTTGTGATCTTAATCTAACTGGTATCAATCGTTCAACACAATTTGTTGAGATCGATAAAAGTATCGATTCCGTAAAGAACGACAATAATTGGAGGAGCTCAAATAAAAAAAGTGATAAAAGGGACGAAAATGGTATCAAGCAACTTAGACGAGAAGATTTTCTCTGGGAGGAAAAAAATGACAAAGATGAAGTTAATGAGTCGTCTTCCATATCTCATAATTTCAAATTTTCATCAGTCTATCCAACACAAGATAATTTTAACTTACCATTAGTCACTACTCACCATGAAAAGGGTTCTTGTATGGTTGATTACATCTTTTATACCAAATCAAGCAATCTGAAACTTTTAGGTTATCAAAGATTATTGAACAGTAACCAGATAGATAGAATAGGATTCCTTCCAAACAATTTTCTTGGTTCCGACCATTTGTCTCTCCATGCAAAATTTTTGCTAAAAAATAAAGCCAAAGTCCATAACCATTAGTAACATATTTGACCAGCAACCATTGTTCAATTTAGTCAAGTTTCCACTGACTTAAATGATTAACGAACCTAGATTTCACCTCATTTTCTTAAAACATGATTCAGCTAACAGAATCACTGCAATCTGCTTGACCAAGAGAAATAAAAACAAACATTATTTTTCTGGTTGACCCTTTTATATGAATACAATGTATTACAATTGTAAAACACTGTAATATAATCAAACATTTTGTACATATTAACAATAAAACATTGATGAATAAAAAATAAGTGTCCAAGTGTTATTAATCAAAACTGTTGATCCACGTAAACATCTGAGTTTTTTATCTTAAAAAGTTGGTATGAAATCATTAGCGATCGGGCGATTGATTTATTATCTGTTAAAATATCTTCTCTTTCCTGTGTTGTAGTTTTAAAATCCTGTCTACTTTTTGTTGAAATGCCTTTTATTTGATAATTATAATTCAATAATGAATAAAGTATTCTCATCTTTCGGCTTTAATGTCAGTGATAATATTTTCTAGAGATTTCAAAAGCTAATGGTTCCATTGTACATAAGCTGCTTGCTATGCATAAGATAGATAGTGTTACTTGGAAATTGGGTCTTTTGATCTCATCAACACTGATCTATGCATTGATTGAGATGATTGTTGGAGCAATCTTTTATTCAACAACCCTGATAGCTGATGGATATCACATGCTTGCTGATGCAGCCTCACTAATTGTTGCTCTTATTGGTTATATCTTTGCTTCAAGACCCTGGTCAAAGTCAACGTTTGGTTGGGCGCGGAGTGAGATTCTTGGCGCTTTAATCAATTCTCTTCTTTTGTTTATTTTAACCGGTGAAATCATCGTACATGCCATCAAATCTACCATTGCACCTGTTAAGATAGAAGAACCCAAAGTGGTTTTAGGTGTTGGTCTTGGTGGGTTACTCTTCAATCTTATTGGTTTCTGTGTTTTAAATGATATCAACCCGGTTAATGTAAGTATGACTAACTTGTAGAATCAGCAATATCTTCTGATATTTAAACTGTGATTCAACAAAAGCCATTATTTATCTGTTCTGATACAATTGACACATTTGTTAATTTATTTTCTTTGTGTTTACTCACAGATTGTTAAGAGATGTTTTTTTAACTTGAAAGATGTTGAGCAGCAACCTAAGCTGTCCAAATCAACGGAAATGAATCTCAGAGGAGCTGCTTTACATCTTCTTGGTGATTTGTCAGTGTCTATTTTGGTGGTTATATCGACAACAGCAAATTTACTCTTGGACTATAGATGGACTATTTACATTGACCCAGTGATGGCTTTTATTCCCGCTTTCTTTCTAAGCATTTCAGCATGGAAATTACTTCGAGAGTCGGCCATGATTTTATTGGAAGCAGTTCCTTCCCACATCCAAATTGAGTCAATCACAAAGTGCATCACCAGCATGTCTAAAGTCCGTTCGGTTCATGAATTTCATCTCTGGAGATTGTCTGGTGATGTAACTATTGCTAGTTTACATTGCGTGTTTGCCACGCCTGATGATTACATCGGTTCAATCAGAGACATTAAACATATTCTATGTCAAAAAGGAGTTCATTCAGCAACAATTCAACCTGAATTTTCATCAACTCCATTTAACGTTAATTACGACAGACCTTCTAAATTGGATCTATACGTGAAATATTGTCAAGCAGTTTCTGAAAGCTGTGATGGTCAAACTTGCTGTCCTGGCTTTGATAGTCAAAAATGACTCAAATCTCGTGCTTATTGCTAATTATCACTTTTCCCATGATTGGTCACCAAAATCATACAATCGTAACTCTTGGTAATCTCATTTCGTGTTGATCGCAATAGAAGAGCTTCTGGTAAATGTGAATCAAAATTCAATTTTCATTTCTTCTAATATTTTAATTTTTCTTTCTTTTCTAGATTTTGACTTGTTTTGTGCAAGAGGTTAATCAAGCATTAATGTTACATCTGATGAAAAAGTGACCAATCCACCAAAAAGTAGTTCCGAGTTGATTACAAAACGCGTCATGAAGAATATCATTAACAAGAGTTTGCAGGTAAATTCACATAATCTTCATAAATACTTTAAATTGTTATTCCATCTCTGTCAGAATCACCTTTTCCAGTTCCTAGATCTTCCCCTCTCTCGTATGCTGATCATTAGTATAATTAATCATAACTGTTCTTTATTTCTTTCTCTTTCAGGTAAAGTTTACATTATCGATTATCATTTTGGTTATTTTGAACACTTGAGGTGGCAGCACCATTATTCGAATGTCATGCTCACAGAATTGATTGGAATGAGTCTATTGAATGAAATGCATTGAAGTGGAAAGAAAGAGAAGACAAAACACAGAGGAAGATAAAGAGAGGTAAAAGCGAAGGGAGAAAATGAGAGAGATTTTGCTCATGACTTTACACCAAAGATTCCATTAGTTTGTAAGCTGAAAAGGTTTCCAATTTACTTGAGCTTAAATCAAATTGTAGCAAGTTCTCAATCAACCTCAACGTGGTTCAATATACAAAATGTGAATACGACTATTCCAATGTGTTCAATTTAATTCTTTCAATTTTTTCCAGTAATTTCACTCAATAGCTAATGCTAATCCATTGAAGTCATCATTCCATGAAAATTGTTCATCTAGTAAAACCAGGAAACTGAAATTTGAATGTTTCTGTTCACATTTTACTCCCAGAGTAAACATTACAAACCAAGATCATAAGCCAAGTCTTTAGCCTGGTGTCAGCTGAGTTGGATTGTGTTATCATTTATTTAAATTGGCCACTTCACTCGGAATCACTTTTAATCGAGCAGAAACACAGTTAATTTCATGATTAATTGTATATATTATGAATTGAAATGGCCCTTTTTATGGAAAGGAAATCAAGACTGTTTAACCATCGAAGTTACAATTACAAATTCAACTGGACAATCATCAATGATCAAAATAACCTGATAAGGAAAAGATGAACTATCCAGCCATAATTTACCCAATTTTCCAGCAATTTATTGATTTAATCTGCTAATGTTTACAAATCAACCATCTGATTAGCATTTAATTTTACACTTTTTACAAGTGTTGCAGTTGTAGCTACAGTTATAAATGTGATTTCATTTTCCGCTGTTACTTTGACTAAACCATCCAATGAATCGACCATTTGTCAAGTTATCATCCAAGCTCCAGTCCATAACTAACATTAAATACCAAAGACACCATCATGTTACCATCGATGGAATCTCCGCAAGTCATTACCATAGCTCTAGTGATACCTTTCGGTTGGGTAAAATCATCTTACCTTTGCTCATGTTTTCAGTTTTACTCTACCTAATACCCTACATAAGAATTGATAAAAGGTAAGTTGAAAGCATAACATTTCCTTGTCTTCTAATCAATATTATATTGATTCTAGTCAAATGAATTTATGTGTTTTTAGCCGAACCAATTTAACTTTATTCATAGAAACCAACTCATACAACACAACCCAAGAATACATAATGATCCTCTTTGAATTATCGACAAACAGCGTAGAAAATAGGAATTCACCACAATCTCAATGATTAGTAGGGAAAATGACAATCAAGTGGATAAAATTTCTTGTTCTTTAACTTGCTCAAAATTACTTTGATTATCGTCAACTTTATCGACTTTATCGTAACTCTATTTTTATTCAGTGCATATGTTATCAAGTAAAGTTACTTTGAGTTGAACTGAAAATATCAACATTCTGATCAGTCAAGAAAATTCCGTTTTTCTGCTTCAAACTTAAGTTTGGTTAAACTCCAGACTTGGCTTCTTGACCAAACTTATTGGCGTTTAGTATTTTCAAAGGTGATTAAGATTAAATTGATAAATTCAATCGATCCAAGATTATAATTTAAAGTTAATTCTCCCTTTCAACTCAAGTTACTCATTTTGCAACTCAATGTTTTTCACTCCGGTATTAGAGAGGAACTTTCCGTTAATTTGATCATGTAATCATGATTAGTCAATAGTTAATTATGCATTATTGAAAGTTTCACTCCAAGAATTACCAGAATTAATGTCAAGTTAACTCTTCAATTAATTTCATCTTCAACTCCTTGTGGACAAACAACATTAATGTTAAAAGCTATTTAGTTATTCACAAATTATCCATTACAGTTATAAGAATATATTAGATTGAACCTTTGACTTTCTATCTTTAATCAAATTCCAATCTTTAATGAAACGTTTTCAAGAAAATCTTACATGATTAACTGCATCTTTATACATCTCATCAAAGGCCTTGCTAATTATAGATCATAATTATACCCAACAGTTATGTGTTGTTGTTGTTGTATTGAACTGGTTAGATACCAAATGAAACCCAAAATTATGTTTTATTAAATAAAATTATTAAATTATGTTAATTACTTCAAGTACAAACATGGATATAATTTATCTTTAATCATCAATCAATTAATTGATTTTTCCTGTTTTCTTTTGTCTCACAGTTCTTATGATCCAAATGGTATCAATAATGATCAACTAATAAACATTAAGCGACCCAATCTATCCAATGGACAACAACAACCCTGTGACAAACCAGTTAGCAATATATTTTTCCTGAAAACGCATAAATGCGCATCATCAGCAATTCAACGGATCTTTCTTAAATATGGTTATCTTAATCAAAAATTATTTGCTCTTCCAGCGTCAGGCAATTATCTTGGACATCCTGAACCTTTTGATCGTTCTTTCCTGTCTGAACCTTTCTATGGAAAGTACAACATTTTCGCAGTACACACTCGCTTCAATTTAGGCCAAGTGGCGGCAGTTATGCCACCCTCTACTCTTTACATAACCATTTTACGGAATCCTTTATTCCTGTATGAATCCATGTTTGGTTATTGGAATTTAACCAAATTTTACCATTTACCACGCAATTTTCTGGACTTACCGGCAATACCAATTGAACAGCTACAAAGAGTTCGCTGGATTCAAAAGATTGGCGCAAATCAAATGTTTTTTGACCTCGGCTATGAACCAACCCAGTTAACCAGTGATCAAATTGACACCATTTTACCCAAATTGGATCAAATCTTTGATCTAGTCATGATTGCGGAAAGATTTGATGAATCCCTGATTCTTCTCAAAGACAAACTTTGCTGGTCTTTTGATGATATAATTACCTTTAAGGTAAGTCACGTTAGACCTAAATTATCATCATTTTGGACCAGTTTAGTCTCCTTAACCATTTATCTTCAGACTTTTCTCTCTCTCTCTCTGTCTCTTCCTTCTTTATCCTCTTCCTCTTCCTCTCAACTCATCATCCATTACCATCCATCCATCTTCACTTATTGTTTACACAGAACCTTGTTTGATTGATTGATTTTATCAAATAACAGTAATACAGGTTCATAATTTAACCTTATTACCAGTATTACATTGGTCAATTTTGTTTACCCATTACATCAACCATCATCAACTAATTGATCATCGCGATGTTTACAATTTAATTCAATTTAAACGATTCTCCTTTTTCAACACTCTTCAAACTCCTAACCACTCAACTAACCCTTATTTGCTTCCATTAATTCAAGTTTAATTTAATTTCATTGAACTTCATTTACATTAAACACTTTAAACAGTCTCATTTTCACTCTTGATAGTCATCAAAATTTACAAAAATTACTCAAATTACATTATATTTAAGTCAACAATTTAGTGTCAATTTTGTTCAATAATATAATTGAACTCAATCATTTTCAAGCAGTTTCAATATTTTAAATTTCAATGAAACACCATTTTAATGGTTTTATCAATTGAAATAGCAGCTAATTTTAATCAAACAATATTACTATGCAAATGTCAAACAAATTGACTTTTCATTTGAAATTTCAAATAAATTAGCAAAAGAATTTCGTCTTTTCTTGTTAGTCAGTTAATTTCAAATTGTTTCCTGTATTTAATATCAATTAGAAGCTATTGTCATTCGTAATGAGCCGATTCCAGCTGATTATCTATTGTATTTTGATGCTCAAATTATCATGATGTTTCATTGTGATAATAGTTTGTTTGAACACAATGGAACCAGTTGAAGCAATCAAACATATCAATGTTAATATTAGTACAAAAAGGCAACCTTTATGATTAAAGATATTATTAGATTTTTGATGAATGTAAACATTAGTGTTTCAATGGTCAAAATAATTAACCAAAAGGTAAAACTCAGAAAAATGGTTCATTAAATGTTTCTATTTATGTCTGAATAGAAGCTGAAACAGAAGTGAAATAGTTGATCATTTAAAACAATGTAACAATCAAGCCATTCTGATAATGTCAAGTTATCTGTAGAAATATACATTTACAAGTCGATTAGATTGGTTGAATAAATCAATTGAACTTTACCATGTTACATACACCAATAGACCATTGGTTGAATAATTAATCTTGAATTGGTTAGATCGAAGTGCAAAATGCAATATTTACCAACAACTCTGTATTATTGATCGGTTGATCGAGCATTTGAAAAGTTATGAATCAAAGAGCAAAAAATAGATTCTCACTTGACCAAGCTAAATGTTAAACTCAATGTCCATTCAAGTTATTTGTTTGGTATTATTAACCTCAATAGGCGCACTTACCTGTTTCACAGACCTGGAAAAGTCTGTCAATGTTGGCTTCAGTTTCAATCTCATTTTACTATCACAATTGGTTGGTTTTTAATTTGTTCAAATGAATTTGTATGATGATGATGATGATGATGATGAAAAATGTACGTGATTAGATTTAATGGTATTCAGTTGAAGGTGATAAAATGTTAGGTTTTGTTGAAACCTGAATTGAATATGAAAAAGGCCATTTATAGATGATTAGTTAAGGATTTTGTATATCATTAGTTTCCCTCAATCATTGGTCAATGGCAATTTTTGGGTAAAATTGGGTTTATGACAATTATTGACTATTTTTCTTGCCAATCTTTTGTCATTTATTTCATCATTGTCATTCAAATTCATGTTAATATAAGCTAATCAGTTGTAATTCAATTCAGATTTACCTGTGAAAGCTGATGATGGAGATAGCAACATGATAATTTACATTTCTTTTTTTCTTCTTTTCCATTTTTTCCATCATTTTTGATCTGAAAATTATGGACTTTTTTGCTGGATTAGGTTTGCAAAAGATGTTGATGTTACTTTAATGTGAAATCCTGAAACCACCCAGATATTGATTGATAACATTTCATTTATTGATTGCTTATTGTCTGTTGATACAGAAACATGAAAAAGGACTTCCTCTGATATTTTACTTTTCAACTGTTATCAAATGTCTTGAACACTCTCAATTTGAATCTAATTAGCAATCTTAATTCATCTTTTAGGGTTTAATAAAAGCGAATTTGGTTTAAATTAAAATTTTGTGTTTACGCTCGTTTTTTTTACACATTTGGTCTTTCAAATCTGTCAGAATCATGATAAGGATTGATTTTAACTTGAGTTAATTGAAGTTCTGATCATGTTGTTGAAAGGTTGTCATTTTTAGATGAAAATCAAATTGAAAAATGTCTAGTTTACAAGGCATCAGTTAATCTTGTTAATTCATGTTCAATTGATCAAACCATTCACCCTGACTTTCAACATTTATGCTAATTTTATGTCTACTTTATTTCACTTTAGATCAATGCTCGACCTCAACGGAAAAGTCTATCTCCATTGGCTGAAGAACGGATAAAAATGATTAACTGGGCTGATCTGAAATTGTATTCATATTTTTTAACCATTTTTGATCGTAAAGTTAAAGCCTATGGAATCAACCGAATGAAGTCTGATTTGGCTCAATTGCGTTCACGGGAAGCATTATGGTACTCTGAATGTGTATACAATGAGACCATTTCTTGGGGAAAATCAACATCCTCCGTTGTAAAATTCATCAATCGTAAACCAAGCAATTTAACCTGTGTTCTGTTGACTGCCACTGAACTGGAAGTGATCAACTTTATCCGTAGGAAGCAACGAAAATTTCATCCAGGATCAGTTAGGCGTTGGTAAAGCAAAGGACGCCAATCTTGGTCGAAAATAAAACTCAAAAGACAATAAAAAGCATGGATAACCTAAAGTGATTCATTATCGCAATTTATTGGTTTTCCATTGGAACTGGATTTTCATGATCTGTTTTGCTGACAGAATAACCATTTGGTCAAAATTTATCTCATATTCTGATCATTTGTTGGCCGATTTCTATGGAATCAACAAAACAGTTGAATTTTTGCCTGAACAGCATTCTGAATTGCTAAGGCTGCCAAGCTAGTCGTTCAAAATTATCTGTGATTTTCCCTGAAATACATCAGCAATTTACTCACAGATATCAACTTATTGTAAAAATTTAATTATAATATTGTTACGATTAATTTTGATAGTTGGTTCATCGTGCATAACCATGATTAGGATTTCTGATCGATTGTGGTTCTCGATTCAACCAAGCAACAGCTTATTATTTTTTGTTTATTTATCTTTGTATAATAATGCCTTAGAGCTAACCATTTAATCAAGTGAGAAACTGAATTAACTCCAATCAACTCAATTGAAGTTTAATTGCAATTATGATCTCATATTCATGGCTAAATTGAAGCACCTTTTTCATCTGCTAGTCATTTTTGTTTCATCAAATGTTACTTTCCCACCACACTTTATCCCAACCATTTTGAATGCAAACAAATTTTGTAAATCTCAATCGAGAAGATATTTTAATGGAAACAAAACAAACCACGATTTGGACTTCAAACAAAATACTGATAATCTTGAGATTTACTTGATTCCCAATCCATCCATCAACTTTTGAAGACATTCAATGAAATACTGATCATTATCACACTAAATAAGAGTGCCTTTATATCCTTTCATTACAAAAACAATCTCCAAATTACCTGCTAAATAACCTTAAATAATAAACCTAATAACAAACATTTTCAAAAACTGCATCTCACACTTATTTTGAAACGCTTTCTTTAAATTTTCAATTTATAAAACGTCAATCAAATGAGAAAAATTAAAACTAAAAGAAAATCGATCAGCATTGAAAAAGATTCAGATTGAAAGCAATCATGTAAATACTAAAAGTATTTGGTTAACTTTATCACATTTTTTAATCCAAATTCGTAAAATTAATTGTAATCTTTCAGTATTATCCTTCATAGTAATTCAATTGGAGATTTCAATATTAGTCAATTTTTCTGGTTCAATGTGATTTAGTAAAAGAAAACGACAAAAGATGTCACTACTTTCACTTTAACCCAAATCTGGTTAAACCAAATTTTGTAAATCAATTTTAATTTAAATTGCAAATTAATTTTCTCTGAATAAAATCTGTTTAAAGAAATTGAATGTTTACTTATTAATTTTGAAGTTAGTTTCCAACAAAATCAACACTCGAAGAGCAAATTATTTTTCAAAAATAGTTAAAGATAGTTATAATAAGATTGAAGATTTGAGACAAATTTTTCATTAATTTTATGATAAACGAGAAAAAAAAGAAGAATCCAAATGAAAGTGAAAGAATAAGATGGAATTGAATGAAATGATTAAAAAAATAACCAGATTATTGAAGACAAATCTAGTGAAGATAATCCTTTTGAGATTCTCTTGGGTTTCTTAGGATTCCCTGATAAACTATACAAATACAGAAGTGTAATAACTGTATCTGTATCGTCAGTGGAAACACCATGAAAGAAACTGATTGAAGATTCAAAGGGAGAAAAGGAAAAAAGGGAAGATAAGAAGATGAAGAGAAACAAAAAGAAAGCAAGAAATAAGTTGAAACCTCTTTTTTTTACGTTCAATGTTATGATGAGGATGAAGATGGTGATGAAGATGAGGAAAAATAGGGTAAAAAGGTAAAGATGAAAGGAGAATGATGATGATGAGAAGTGAATGTTGGAAAGGAAAAAATATCGATTTTCTATTTTCTCCCAGTTTCTTTTCATCATCCTCCCTGTTTACCAACTGAACTTGAGTAAAGACTCACCATTGTGAACGAGGCAAAGATGAAGATGAGGAGGAGAGAGAGATGAGGAAAAAGCTATCAGCTATGATTGTTAACCAAAAGGAATTCGCGATTGCTTTAGTTTGTTGGTGAACATAAAAGTGATAAAGTTTGTTGTTGTATGTAAAAAGCTGCGCATGAAAAAGGGAATCATTTGGACTCCATTTTAACCCATGAAAGAGGACAATTGGAATATTTAGTGTCGAAAAATTCTGTGTGTGCCAAAACATCATCCAAGAGAGGAAAGACCAAGAAGAAGAAGAAGAAGAAGAAGAGGAAAGAAGAAGATAAATGAGAGAAAGAGAGGAAAGAAAGTGGTTAAAAGTGGTGATAAGTGAAAGTGTTTTTAGACGTTGTAAGTTTACTGGTGATAACCCAATGAAACCCAATCATGATATTCAACTTTCAATGTTGTCCTCTGTTTTTTTAAACTCAACATTCTGACAACATTCTGTCATTGTTGTGCCAACAATCAACTCTCATCTTCAACACTAATCATCATCATCTTCATCACCCTCACCTGTTTATATCCATCATCATTAACACCAACAACAATAACATCTTGTTTGCCTTGTTCATTTACCTTAATTTTATCCTCTTTTTTTGTCCTCTCATATGATTATGACAACTTGAACAACCCAATTTTATACCCAACACAATCATCATTACCGTTTCGTTTTCGGAGAACATTTTCTTTTCTTTAAAAATCTTTCTTCTCCTCCAATCATTTTCAAGTTTAATTGTATAATTTTCACGTAAATTTCAGTGAATTTCAACTTTAATTTCAAAGGCAACAACTAAATGGACAGCAAAGTGCTTTCTTCCCTTCTATTCATCGCCCAATTGATTCCCTTACTCTTAGATTATGAATAAATTGAATCAGTTTAATTTACCTTTAATTTCAACCCAAAAATCATTTTAATGTACATCAAGCAAATGTGAAAAGATGGATTAAGGTTCATTTGGATGTTTTTGCCCAGTTTTTGTGCTCTTTTCCAGTCTCTTTTGTTTCCATCCTTCATCTAATCCCAGTTTTTTTTCAGGTAAGAATAAAAAGTGATTGGTAAAGCTGGTGATGGCAAAAATGATGATCAAGACAGGGATTAATATTAAATCGATTCTCAATAGATATTGGTTGAAGATGAAAAAGAAGAGGAAAAAAAATGTCTCAATAAGGGAATCCAAGTTGAATGAGAAAAGCTGTGATGATGAACCATCATCATCGTCATCAACAGCAACAATCATCATCTTTAGTGGCTCTTATTTTGATGGTGATAACCTCACCAAGAGCCACTAAAACCATAACCCTTGGAGTTAACATCATCACTCCCAGTTAAAACATAAACTGTTGATTCTCAACCTCTTTTTACTTGTCAGATTAAGTGACATTATTTTTTGGTTTGAAAAAAAAGGACAACATCTAATTTATCCTTTTGTTTACCCTTTAGCCAACAGATTAATTATGCTGAATAACCGATCAAAATAGATGTAATAACAATAGTCAATACAAGTTTACTTGCTCTCTACTCTTCACCTTTTATTTGGATACTTTTGATTAACCCATTAAACTCATTGTGCAAGGTTCAATGTTTGGCTTCTAACTCTCATAATGAAACAATCAATCAATCAATTGTTGCCCAATTAACCCTGGATTGGTGATTAGTTTTTACCAATTTATTTACAAGGCTTAAGGTGACAAACGGTTAACCGGTAAATAGTTTTGGACAGTTTTGGGTTAGAAACTGAAATAGCAACAAAAAGATGATCTCAAGACGTGGATTCCTTCGTCTAGAGGATGAAATTGGTGCTCGTGATGCCACTTTTTTGGATCCTTTGACCGAAGAAAATTTCATTGCCAATCTTTATCAGCGATTCAAACGGGACCAAATATATGTAAGTTTCACCAAACCGCCAATAGTAACTAAATGATAATCAAAACCTTTCCATCATCAGACTTACATTGGAACTATGGTCATCTCGATAAATCCGTACAAAAATTTGGGCATTTATTCAAATGAAGTCATTACTGCTTATCAACATCACAATATGTTGGAATTGCCTTCACATATGTAAGATCATCATTCAATTTACTTTTAAATATTTTCCAAATGAACAAATGGTTGATGAAATTGAACATATTTGTTAACTTTGACCTGAGCAAAGAATCAATATCAATGATTTAAAATTGAGTTGAATTTTGATTCAGTTTAGAGAAAAATTCCACATTTTATATTGATAACATGGAATTTCCAGTTTTCCAAATTAGCTCGATCAATAGAAACTTCATGCCTTCTTCATACAAAAGGAAGAAAATGAAAGAAATGCCAGAGAATTGAACTTTATCATTGATTGAATTTGTCTCGAGTTAGTTTCAAAAGTTCATGTCAAGTAATCAATGTTGAATTTCTTTGATATTCCAATCTGATTAATTAGCAAACTTGAACAAGAGCATTGATTAAGGGAAAACGATTTTAAAGTTCATTTCTTTCATGTTGACCAAAATTCAATGAATTTATTCTCAAAATTGTGATTAGTTGATGAACAGTTTTTATGCTCTTCCAACCTCACTAGTTGATCATTTTGTTTGAATTGAATTGCAAGTTTCATTCTTTTCATGGCTAAAATCATCAGGGAATGTATTTTGAAACTTTTGACCAGAAAATTGAAAATTGCTGGTTGGACCGCAAAACAAGGAATCAATTGAAGCTCAAAATCAATGGTCATCAGCTCAACTTGAATTGTTCATTAGGTTTTGTGTTGCCCACCATTTTTACCCAAAAAGCTACAATTTTTAGTCTCGAGTTGTTCAACTGTTTACCTTTGTTTTTTGTGGTTTTTTCACTCTTTTTTTCTAGTTATGCTCTTACTGAGTTTGCGTTTCAATCCATGAATGAACGTAATCTGGATCAATGTATTATCGTTACTGGTGAAAGTGGGTCCGGAAAAACCGGTAAGCCTTGGTCGATCTTTTGTTTTTAATGTCACTTTTATTCTGAAACTCACTCGTTTTTACCTGAATGTACAGAAGCTGCCAAACTTGCGCTACAGTATTTGATTCGGGGTGAAAGATCAGCCTACCAAGATTCAGATTCCCTTCGAGATCAACTTTTATCAATTTGTCCAATTCTTGAAGGTAAATAGTTCATTATCTAACTTAAGGTTAAACAACAACAATCGTCAGTTGGAAATTATTCAGTCAACTTGACGAATGTTTTAAAATGTTCAATTTGTTTGTTTCAACAAGTTTACAAATTTTGTGATGAAAGGTTAAGGGAAAATTAAACATTTGAATCGTTATTTTCATTCAATCCTTTAATCAATATAAATTGTTTTGGATTGAGTTACTTTTCTTGACACCAAACTGATGTAAAGAGCAAAGACGCATGTTTAACCTAAACAAGTGAAGACAACATAAGCCAAGATAAATATCAAGTAAACAGCTACAAATTGATTATCATTTTCAAATCAAAAATATAAAATTTTGCTTCAAGTTTAATCAATTTGTAGTCAAATGATATAAAATAATCAAATGTCGATCACAAAGAAACTTGAGTTGAACTTTTATTCAATCTTGAAATATTTATCAACATAAAATCAAAGTAAACTCATTGGCTTTAAAACCTAAATGGTTAGCTTCCCTGCATTCACTCCAAGGATAAAATTAAAATTTCTGGTAATTTTCAAGTTAACCCAAAATTTTTAACTTTTTTTGTGATTCTGGTTTATAAGCCATTTAACCGTATCAAAATGGTCACTTGGCTTAGGCCTTTGATCTTCTATTCGCATCTTGATTAATCCCGATAAAACTGCAGATCCTTGAGTTCATTATAATAACAATTTATTATAACTTGGTTTAGATGTCTTTGAAAGAAATTCTGAAATTCTTTTGCTTTGTAGTTACAAGCTGTTCCAATTCGTTGCGACAAAATAATGCAAAATAACCCAAATTTGTTGACAATTACTTTGAACTTGGCATGATAAATGGCTAGCAATTTCATCTATTCATTAGTAGTGAAGAAAATTGACCCAATTTGATTGCATCTTGAGGAATGGCATCAGGATAACTGATAAGAATTTGAAATGTTTAAAAAATTACATTTTTTATTACTTTCTTGAATCCAGCTTTGGTCTTGAAGTTTTGATGCTCTTGAGCAACGATTTACGATTGATGGCATGAAAATATTGTTGAGTGAAAATATGATTTTAGGGCGAAAAAGGAATCTAATAAAATTTGGACAAATTGGAATCTTCGGACAACCTTTATCAATCATTTGTTCATCCCATAAGCAGGAGAAATTGAAAAAAATGTTCAACCTTTTTTTGTTTCATCATGCAATCCAGTGGATAACAATTTATCCAATTGTTCAACTTGATGATTCAGTGAGAGAAACAAGTTGAAAAATGTATCGAGAAAGAAAAGGTTGACAAATTTATGAAAATGTTCAGGATCAATGTTTGAAGAGGAAGAAGAAGAAGAAGGGAGAAAAAAAAGAGAGAATCAACAGAATGATGATTATCAAATAATGGAGCAATTTCAATCAATACCTCGCTTCAGATTACATGTTATCCTTATCATTTCAGATAGTAGGTCATGTCTCAAGGTTATTAAATAACAAAAACCTAATACAGTTTTGAGTCTGATGAAGATGATGAGCCAGTTGAACACACAAACCAGAAGAGAGACAGTTCACCATCAGCATCAGCAAAACAAAAGTACAAACCTTATTGTTACCATTAACCACGCATGAGTTTTTTAAACAAGTGCAACCATGAAAACATGAAAACTGGTATCACATGAAGAGGAAGAAGATGAGAAAAGTGATTCAGTAAAAGTGAAAAAATGCATGAAAATGATGAGGTTAAAATGATGAAGTACGAAAAAAAAGATGTAATGAAAGCGAAAGGGAAAAGGGAAAAGTTTGTAAAACATATTCTTGATTGCATTTTTTGAATCTTTTTTCTTCTTCTTCTTTTTTTCATTTCATTTTCCTTTTCGATTCATTGATTAAACTTGATTAAACATGAAAACTAACTAAAAATTATGTGAATAAAAACTCGTCAAAGTTGAACGTTTAAATGTACATTTGGTTGTGCAAGTTGACAGGATTGAATGAAACTCGATAATGGTAATGATGATGATTATGTAAAGTCTTGGTCAGTGTCAGGTAAATGATGATGAGCAAGGATCATTATTCATCATTAGACTGTTGTGCTTCCAGTTTTCACTTTTGTTGCAATTCAATTGGTCACATTTAATGCCCTTTTCATGGTTTGCCTTTTCACCATTTTTCCCATTTTACCATCTTCATTAGATGATGAAAAATGTTTTATGATGATTGATAAATTGAAAGAGATGGCTGATGAAAATGGAGTAACATGCAGCTAAACTTCCGGCTAGTTTCATGTAAAATTTCATTCAATGGTCCATTAATCCTTTCATGAATACAACTATTCATATCACTCCAAGTTGTTACATGTTATTATCATCTTGTTTTTTTTCTGCTTTCTTTGAGTTTCCCTTTTTATGCATATTTTCATCAACAAGACTGGGAAGGAAAAATGATAATGACTTGTTTTTCGTTCAACTTTTAATATCTGATTCAGTTTTCTCTTCTCATGATGATGCTTCTCATGGTGACAAAATTAGTGTCTGATAATTTTCAAGGTCAACATGATGGGATAGGAAATGACGATGTTGATGACGATCATTGGTTAGACTTGATAACAGATCGAGTAAAGTGTAGAGTAATGACGTCAACCAAATCGTCTGGATTAGATGAATCAGCTGAAAATCATTATAAATTGAAAGCTATTCATTCAACATTTTTTTTCTCTTCTTTCATCATTTTTCTTGGTTTACTCGTTTCACCATCATGCATTATCTTGCTATTCACTTGAACACTGGTTCAATGTTGAAGTCAATGATTTTCAATCAACTGAATGAAAATTTTGTCCAATGGACAGTTATGAGACAAGCTTTGTGAACAAATATTTCAAGAGTTTATTAGAGTCAATTTGATTTCATGTTAACTCGAGGTAAGATGGAAACGTGTTGATACAATAAGTGTTTTGAACTTTAAAAGTGTGATAAAATGAGTCAAGTTATTGTTGGAATGAAATTCAAGAAAATAATATAATATGTTTCAATAGTCGTTTTGACTTGCCAATGCGTAGGTTGTTGAGAGATAATGTTTAACTTTTGTTTGGCTATTTCACCAATTTAATTCAATTTACTTGGAAAAATTGATCACAAAATTATTTCTTTACAAGATTTATAACATTTTCCGAGAAATGATTGTTTCAAATCGGAGACTAGTTGAAACAGTTTCAGTTGTAAATGAACAGAGATCAGTTTTGAATACAAGCATTGAATCAAATATTTTTTGTATACATTTGTAATATTCTGACCATCGAGGTGATCATTATTATTATTGTTGGATTAATCTGTTGAAATGATAATGGAAAACATAATGGCTTTGAAAACATAAATAATAATACAAAGAAAGCCATTTCAGCTTGGATTCTGTGAAAGTAAACACTGATTTTCACGCAATCTTATTGCCTTATTATTTTACCAAGATTATGAATGACAGTAAGCCGAGGTAAAATCACTCAAACTAATAAGCCATCGGTCAGAGCCAATCGAATAGAGACACAGAAACAAAAGAAACCACAGAAGCAATTCCATCACAGAAACTCACAAAATTAAGGTCTTTTAATGCATCTCTTAAGTTTCGTCACTATTGAATGTAAAAATCGTCAAAGCCAACTCTTCTTAAGTGCTCAAAGTGAAACAATTCAGAATCATTCAGATCATTTGAAGCCAATAGAAGATGTAACATTCATACGACATAAAATTAAATACTAATGTTTTGTAATATATTAAGTTCACTAACATCATTCGAGCAGAATTCATTTTTCGATTCCTTAATCGTTCATTGGGCTTCGAGTCGCAAACAGCTTTTGTTGCATTTGAATCGCTTTGCAAATTTGTGGTTTTGCAAAAGTTTAGTCTTGCAATGCTTTTAAATGCACTTTTTGAAAATGGATTGCATTAGCGAAGTTAGGTTTTTAGCTCTTTAGGTTTTTCGATATGTTCGTTTGGTATTTTCGTTGCTGGAAACAATTCTAAGCTTCTCCTTCTCTTCATGATTGATGCTGGAATAAGATGTTCAGATGTTTGAGTTTTTGTTACAATAATGCAAATTAACCCAATGAACCCAATCTTTCACTAACAACTTAATCATTCAGCTAAGAGTGAAACCTTTTAAGCGTAAGAAACTAACATTCAAGTTTATCTTGAATTTTATTGTTTGTCTCTCTTTAATTGAGATTGAAATGTTTCCATCGGTTTGACTGTCGATGAACTTGTAACAGAATTGTTTTTCGTTTTGTTTCATTCAAATTGATTAATCAATCGTATTAATTGATGTTAAACCCAGAATTAAACATTAACTTACCTTGATCTTAAAATTTAAATGATTAACTGAACTGCAAAAACATGGTAACCTTACTGGTTTCTCGGGAAACAGATTTGTTTCCCTGTGAAGGTTAAAACAACTTTCGTCTTATTGTCCTTCCTTTTGCTTATTTGGTTCACTATGGAACCAAATTAAACCCAATTAAGATTAATCACTTGCTCTACTTGGTTGACTGTTGATTAATGCCTAGTTTACTCTCTTAATTTTCTGCTGGTTAAATTTGATTACAACTGACAAATAGTTGGGAGTGAAGAGAGTCAGGGAAGGATTATGATATTAATGATGAAGTTGGTAAGAAAAGGGATAAAATGAAGGTTAAATAATTTCAATAAATTTCATAATTGACCAGATTGTTGTTGTTTAAAGGGAAAAACTTGATCAATAAATTAATTGGGTTGAATTAACCAGATTATTTTACTTTGCTTTACAGCTTTTGGTAATGCTAAAACCTTGCACAATGACAACTCAACTCGTTTTGTAAGTCAATCTGGTTCTCTGTTTAACCTTTTACCTCATTAATATCCAATGACATTGATTAATTGAAACTCAATCTTTTCATTTTCAACAAATTAATTATTCTATTTGCGCTTTTTCCACCCAATTTGGATACAATTTTGGGTTCACCTTTCGATGCAAACAAAAGGGAAAATTTTTAGAACTGGAATTTGATTTTACCGGTTATCTTATTGGTGGAAGTATAACTAATTGTAAGTAATTAACCATTTATGCTCCAAAAATTTAGGTTAACGAAATTATTGGCAAGATCAACTGATTGTCATTGGTTTATAAATTATTTTGCTGTACTTTGAACCAATTTAGAAGCTTTATTTTTAAAATCATTTCCAATTTTGGTGATTTTATTAGAGCCTTTGCATGAATTGCGTTTGAGCGTTTTAATATCAACTGGGTTTATCATGGAAAAATGAGGATAACCAACGAAGTGTTGACTATGAAATATGAATCAAAACATGTTCCTTTTTAGCTTTTGAAATAAACTCCATGAAGATGGGAAGAAGAGATGAAATTTGATTTTTTAATGCAATCTTTTGGTGAATGTTGAGCCTTAAATGTGATGAATACTGATGTGTAAAAGCTGAAAAGGATAATCATTATAATCATTTTTATTATTACATGGATGAAGATGGTGAGGATAATGATGAGAGTGAGGATTGAAATGGAAAGAGGAACAAGATGAGGATAATAGACACGCAAATTTTCAGCCTCATGAATGTTATCATGACTTTAAAATGAAACTTTTATAAAAGCAAAATGTTTCTTATTACTTGCAACGAAAATCATTTTTATCCAAAACAAAATGATAACTGATTGAAGAATGAATCAATTAAATTGAGATGCATAATGAGATTTAAATTACGCTTATAGACTATTCATGAAACGATGCATTTTTGCAGTCAATTTTTGCGTCAATGGCTGTCAACTCAATTCAATAAGCTACAAATGAATCCAACACTTTTTTTGAGTTGGTCATCAACAGTTCTCTTGATTTTGGCTATTAACTTTGAGCCTCGATATTTTGAGAACGATAGCGCTAACGATCATCATTCTTTGGTCAATCAATAGATTTTATCATGGGCTATGTGCCATGGGCCATCAGATCATTCAAGATCGTACAAATAAAGTTATAGCATTTTATTACTCATAGTATCATAGTTTTATACATGGTTTATAAAGTTGAATAGTAACTTGAAAACAAATCTTATGCGTTAGAAGGATATTCAGCATTGGATAGGATTTGGTCAGATTTTTTAAGTTTTCAATCATATTATGTTATAGCCCATTATAAAATCTATTGATTGGCAAAGAATGATGATCGTTAGCGCTATCGTTCGCAAAATATTGAGGCTCAAAGTTTTTAAGTTGCTGGCAAAAATCAAGAGAACTGTTTCTAAATCGAAAAAAGTATTCAATTCGTTTTTATGCCTCTGCAAATCCTCAAGTCCCTACTCGATGAAATCTGCGATTGTTTAGTTTCCTTTCAATGCTATTTTTGCAAAGTTCAATTCTCGATGAAACTATTCTTTGAGTCTTACAGTCCATTTTCAGTCACATCTATCATCATGAATGCATTGTTATGCAAAGGGCTTCTTAATGTTAGCTTCAGCTATTTGCAACAAAATATGATTAGACTTTTAAGACCAAAAACTTATTTGATTCTAAAGTGATATATGGATGTAATTGCATTTGAAACGAGATCAACAATGAAGTTAAGCAATAAAGGATCCAGATTTCAGTTTTTCTCTTTACATTCAATTCTTTCAGAGGCTACTTCGTTCATGACTGATTGCAAACGTCTTTTCTCTGTGTACGATAAATTAAAACACAAATTCTTAATAAAAAGCACCGTCAATGAGACAAACTAACATAAAATAAAATCTGGTTCCATACAAAATGCAATCAGAGTTCCACCTTTAAAATTGATCAAAAAAGCTCCAAAGAAACATATCAATGCACAAATGAGTCCAGTTATGTCCCATAAAGTCAATCAGATTACAACTCTTAACCTGTTCAAAGTTGAACCTTTGGTATCCTTTTACAGTTGAAGCACCAGTTCAACTTAACTCTTTACCCAAAAGACAGTTTACTTAGATTTTTCGTTCTAACCCGACAATGAACCAGCAACTTGCATAACCGAAACGGGAATTTCTCTGTAACTTGAATTCTTATTCAGCTTTGACCATTTTCTGGACATTTAGTTAATCTTGGCTTTAAAGCTTTGGTAAAATTAGCCTTAGAATCCTTTCACTCGTACTTTTACTGGTAGTTTTGGGTACAATTTTTAAGCCAAAATTTGATACATTTCTCTTTGTGTATTGTCTTTTATGGATTGCAATTAATAAAAAAAGTAAATGTTGTATCGATTAAATGCCATCAAAATGATGTTTAAACATTTTCTTGTGCTAACCATTCATCGATTAAATTATTGTTTCTAATAACTTTGTTGTATTTACTGTAACAATAATGTCAGGAAAGGCAAGTAAAAAGGCTTGAGACTTTAAGATGGACAGGGCAAACAATAATAATGGTATATGAGTGTATATCAAGTCACACAATAGTGTCCATTGTAATAATAGCGAGCCTCTCATTTTTGTTTTGTCATTGGTCAACACATTAAATGTAAGCTTTAAGGTTGCTGTTGCTTCCTCTTGTTATACTTTCATTTTAACACAATTCAATATCGATCCATCTAGTTGATTCAATCATAGACTTGCAACTACATCAAAATCAAGAGTTGACCCTATTTTGTTTTTCATCAGTTATTAGCTTTTAACTTCACTAAAAATCATTTCTAGTCTCAAAAAATTTCATCCCTTGAATCTTCATCTTTTCATCCTAAAACTTTTGCTATCGACAATCTTTCAAAAGGCAACTTCACTTTTTCCCGTCAATCATTCCTGTTATACATTATATTTGTCTTGGAACCAAAGCAAAGGCCATTTAAATCTATTGATTACATTACAGGAACTGGAAAATGGTGTAAATCAAAACGAATCATTAAATAATATTGATGATTATTCAATTTTACAGCTTCATTTGAGTCAAATCAATAATTTTAAAGCTTATTCTTGGTGTTTTAATGCATTCATTTGTTCATCATCAGTTAACTCCTTCATGCCATGGATATTGGATGTATTCATTAGTTGAGATAATTTGGGTTTTTTGACTCTCATCAAATAAACTGAAATTATGATAGAGATCGATAATATGCTTGTTAAATTATATTAGATATACGGTGATTTATACATGAAAAGCTACTTGTAGTTTGATGGCAAAATTCAAAACTTAATCAATTCATCAAAAATATTTTGCAGCAAGAAAAATGCTCAACAAAATTGACTAAAAGTTGTCAGTAGGTTTGTTTCAACTTTGCTTTTCATGTAAATTGAAACTTTACTAATTTTCATCTAAATCTTTCCCAATAATGTTCAGAATGAGAAGTTCAATTCTCTTCAACTTACTGTCACAATATGTTTGGAATAAAAGATTTGAATAAAGTAAATCGGTCAAATTCTTGGTTTTGGGTTAAACTTGAAAAGCCTAACCTAAACTCACTGTTTGTTAACCAGTTGAAATAAACAGTTTACCCGATTTTTAACTAAAAACCAGCAAAGCAACCTAAAAGTGAATAAGACTGTAAATTGAATAGTTGAGAGTTTCAAATCAAAACTCTTTTCATTCCGAAAGTGTAAATGTCTTTCATAATGGTTCTTAATTGTTTCGCTTAATTGCTTGATACTTTTTATTGATACTGTTGCTAATAATGCAAAATAATCCAATGACGATCTTGAAACTTTGGGTTGTGCAAATCAACTCTGCCTAGCCTAATCTAACTGTGACTTTTAGTGAACCTTTGACCATCCGATTGTTGACTGTATGTAACAATGTATGTTTTGATGGTCAAGTTTGTCCGTTCAATCAGTTGATCTGTTAATCTTTCAAAATTGCAACAATTTTGTTTCTTTTTGTTTACTAATTTCTTTCCTTTTCTTCCATGTCCATCTCTTGAATCTAAATGTGTTCAGATCTTTTGGAAAAAGTAAGTTAATTCGTGTTCTTCAATTAATTGTCTCAATGTTAATCTTGGAATGAAAATTAACTTTGATTCCCAATAACAATTAAACCATTAAACATGCAATGAAAAGCAATAAGACACACTATTAATGCTACAAGGCTTACTAATAATAATTTCATCTTAACCATTGCAACCTCGTTCAATAGCAACATTATTATTATTGTTATAACCATTTGCATGTGTAAATTAATGTAACCATTTTCAGAATCAATTTCATGGTGTTCAATGAGAGAGAGTAAAGGGAAGTAAAGAAAATATTATCAGGGCCATTTGATGATCAAGAAGAGGATAATACTGATGGTAAGGAAATAAAAGATAGAAGAAGAGAAAAGAAGAAGAAGAAATCGATTTGATATATTCGCCTGAATAAACTATAATTACAGAACTTTAGCATTATTTTATCTCATCTGGAAGGCCACAAATAAGTTATACGAAACAAAAAACAAACACGAAAACAAGTTATCCATTGAGAGGAAACAGTTAGACTAACAGTAAGATTAGTTACATTGCAATCATATTAATATAATAATTACTATTGTGATTATCATCATTTTGTATTTTATTGCAACCATTAAACATTGCTATTGATAGTAAAATTACTCCCAGTGAAGAGAGAGGAATGGGAAAGAAAAAGATGATTTGAAAAGGAATGGACATTGTTTAACAATTTAATTATCATTAACAGTCTCGAGTGGTTAAACAGTCCATCGGTGAACGCAATTTTCATATCTTTTATCAACTTGTTAAAGGCGCTGATGTCAATTTGCTCAGTAAGTAATGTTAATGTGAATCTTTACCTTTTTTTGATTTTAAATTTTGTCATTTCTCTTGTCTTTCTATTCAGAAACGTTGAAATTACAGCGAAACATGGAAATGTATGAAATAATGAAAACATCTCAACCTGAATTGATGCAATTTTTTGATGATAAAGATCAATTTTTTGAAACAAAAGTAAGTTATCAATCTTGTCATTTCATATCAACCTGTTCAATCCCATCATTTGTAAATCACTTTTCAGTTTCCCTTTTAAAAATCATTTTTCAACACAAAACTTGACGTAAAATATTGATTATTATAATAATGAAAGGTTTTTATGTTCATCTTTTTTTTTCTTGCTTCGTTGTTTCTTGTTTGCTTATGTTTTGTGCTTTACAATATTTTTCATTAGTTGATAGCTGATGATGGTTGATGAGCAGAAAATTTTCATTTTGCGTTTTTTTACACTCAAACATTGTATTACTTTTTACTTATTGAACGCAATCATTGAAACTTCTTTATCATGTTATCATTCATCTCGTCAGGCAAAGTGGTTGTCATTGATTTCATGGTTTCCCTGTCATAATTTTGTATATTCATATCAATATTGTTGTCCTGACAATGTTGATAAACTTAAATAATATTATACTTTTCAGCCAGTTCAAAGTGAATCCAAAAGTCTGTCTATTCTGTCGATTCTTCTGTCAGATTATTCACATTTTTCTTCTCCATTCACAATAAGAAGATGAAGATGATAAGGGAACAGGGAAAATAAAAGAAACATAGTTTAACCTTTCTTTTCATCTTCATCTTTACATTTTGAATAACCTCTTTTTTTTGCTCGCCTTTACACTTTCAAGTCATTCCCAGTCATTCCCAGTCCAATTTCAAGCATTATTTTTACTTCTACCATTTTATTTTGACTTTTTTTCCTGGTCTTTAGTTTGAGAAAATATTTGATTGAATTGAGAAGATTTAATTTACAAATAAATATTTCATGAGATTCAAGATGAGTTTACTGATCGACTATTGGAAAGTTTGCTTCAACCAAAAATGACTGAACCATTAGATTTGATAGTTTATTCATGTTTAACTTGTTAAAATGTGAAAATTAAGATATTATTTTGATTAAGAGTAAAGACATTTCATAGTTTCAATCTTTATTTAACTTGTTCAACATTACACGGATCATGGGTTTAGGTTTACAATTTGTTTAGCTTTTTGGTTTTCTGGTTTTTTTCTGGTTTACACTTTTTGCTTTGTCTTTACCAACTTTAATTACATTAATTTTTCATTGATTTGCTTGTTAAGTGTTTCAAGATTTGCAAAAATGGATAATTAAATAAATAAAGATCATCATTGGAATTTAATTATTACATTTGTTTAACACTTTTTGATTAAAAAAATTGTTGATTAAAAGCTATTTTGAAAAGGGCGGTCTTTTTTGCTTAACTGTTTCTTATGGCGGTCAATGGAGTAATTTTAATGATGAGTTGCTTTTTGTTTGTCTGCATTAGTGTTTAATTATCATTTTTGCCTCTCGACAGTTTTGTGTTTTTATAATCATTTAATTATGATTGTTATTGTTAATTGTATATTTACAGCGATCTATGGAGATCATTGGGTTCACCCCGGAGGAAATATTATGTATCTTTTGCATAGTTGCATCTATACTTAAATTAGGTAATTTACAATTTTTACCTCGTGCCAATATGGATGGGACTGAGGGTTGCTCATTATTAAATGATTACGGTAAGTTTCATTTTATTTATCAGATTATTTATGTTTATTTATTTGTAATCTAATATTAATTGCTATATTTTCTTATAGAACTGTACGAGTTCTGTGAATTATTATTGATGGACGTTAATTGTGTCGAGGCTGCCTTAACCCAACAAACAGTTGAGACTCGCCATGAAATATTGGTAACTGATCTTTCAGCTACAGAGGTTAGTTTTTCCCTCCTTTTTTTAATAAGCTCTTATTGATGATATTTTATTAACTATGAATTATTTTGCTTCTAATCTAAAAATCTACAAATCGTCAAATGATTAGGCTAACAATGCTCGAGATGCCTTATGCAAAGCAATATATAATCGACTTTTTACTTGGCTAGTCAATAGGATTAATGAATCGTTGAAAGTAAGTTAATCTTCATTTTAATACCTAAAAAGCATTTAAGTTGCTCTGATTTACTTTTCTTCCATTTCTTTTACGTTAACCATAACCATTAGCAATACCTTTCTAATACTTCAGTGTGTAGATCAACAATTGATTAGTATTGATTTCTAATTTAAACAAATCTTTCTGTCTTTTTCACATTAGGCTAAACGAATTGGTAAACGAAGGGTAATTGGAATATTGGATATTTATGGTTTTGAAGTGTTCGAGGTAACAAAAGCTATCAACTAATCAAGCCTTTAAGTTTAAGTATAACTTGGATGTCAATTTTTATTCCCTTTCACTTTTTCTTACAGACAAATGGTTATGAACAATTCTTGATTAATTATTGCAATGAAAAGCTTCATCAAATTTATGTTGATGTTGTACTCAAAGAGGAACAAGAAGAATATATTAGAGAGGTAATTTAACCATTGATTATTTTGGTAATTCAATTATGCTATCAATGACCATGATTTAATTTTTTATCTTCTTTTTTTCAGGGAATTCAATGGAAAAAGATTGATTTCTTCAATAATTCAACAATTTGTGATCTAATAGAAAAGGTATTCTGTTTCATTCCTTTTAATAATGTTTACAATTTTGTTTCACTACTTGTTACCGATAATGTATAATACATTGTTTTAGTATCATTATCAAGTTCCTTGGATCTTGATCAAGTTAGTTAACCAATGTTCAACTCTGCTCTTGTAATAATTTCCTTAGTTCAAATTAGTAGCAATCAGTAAAATTTAACCTTTCTCATTAATCATTGATACAATCAATATCCGTTGAAATGGTCAACAGAAAGTAAAGAAACAAAACTCAATCGGATGTAAAGGTTTCCACTTTATCCTGGATTTATCTATCTTCAAAATGAGAGTAGCTTGAAATCAATATTATTTGTTTTTTCATCAGATCCAAGTTTCTGATTAGTAAAACAAGTCATATCAAGCAACGTCAAATGAATACAGAATCCAGGTAATCTGATTGAGAAACAAGCAAGAGAAAAGGCGCAACTTGATTGAATTTAATTGAAAATTGGTTAACTTGTAGGTTTAAGAAACACACACACAATTTCATTCGATATCTTGCAATTTTATTTTTCATTTTAAGGGAATTTAATACTTTCTTAATTAATGTTAACTTTTCTTATTATTATTTAATTTGTTACAGAATAATAGTGGAATCTTATGGATGTTGGATGAAGAATGTCTTCGAAGCAATCAAATATCGGATGAAACTTTTCTTCATCAGATAAGCACTGCCTTTCAGGAAAATGCCTACTTTGAGAGTCAAGAAAGTCATGGATGTAAAAGTTTCTTCATTCCTCACCATTGTTCAACTGAATTACATTCAACATCAACTTCACATTCTAATCTACTCCTTCTCAATACACTTCCTTTTTCCTGTTTCCGTTTGAGACATTTTGCTGGACCGGTAAGTGTTCATCATCATCATTATCGTTGTCATCAATGTTTGGATTTTATTTATTTTCATTTTTACTTGTACCCTGTTCATTACATAATTATACCTTTGCATCCTCATGTTTTTCATTTCCATTTGTATTTTTCACTCCCTTATTTGATTGTGGTTAAATCTGTTTGTTTATTTGTTTTTAGGTTACTTATTCTGTTTCTGGGTTCATCGAGAAAAACAAGGATCACCTTTATCGTGATTTATCCATGGCAATGTTCGCCTCTGACTTACCTTTGATGAAAACATTATTTCCTGAAGGTAACCCAAAACGAACCAATTTAAAGCGTCCGGCTACAATTGCGGTACAATTTAAAATCTCAATGGAAGCTTTGATGAAAAATATTCATTGCAAACAGCTCAATTTTGTTAAATGCCTAAAACCAAATGATCTTTGTCAACCAGGAATCTTTCAAGCTGATCTAGTTTCCCATCAGGTTAGATGTTTACTTCTCCTAGAGACAACCAAATTACAACGAGCAGGTTATTTTTACAAAAATGATTACATCTCATTCCTAAAACGATACAAAATGTTATCGCCCGTTACTTGGCCTACATGGCCAGGTTTATCAGCCCTGGAAGGGGTTACTCTTTTGCTCAAAGACTTGCCCGTTTATATGCCTCAATATGTTTTTGGAAGAACCAAAATTTTTGTTAAACATTACAGAACTGTGAGTTGAACAAGATTATTTACTCATTAATTAGCCAATCTAATTATTTTTGTTTCTATTCTTTTTATAGGTTATTGAATTGGAAGAGTTGAGATCTGAAAAACTCGATGAATTGGTAACAATGCTTCAGAAACTATGGCGAGCTTGGATTTGTAGGAAAAAATTCACCTCCTTAAGAAGAAGTCAAATAATCATTGCTCATAATTATCGCATATGGAAGGTAAATATTATCTAAATTAATGGCTTTACTGCAATTTAAACCCTTTGTTTATAAATTTACCAACAGAGACGACGATATTTACTTTGGTTAGCAAGGAATTTACCATCAGTATCGCCAACTTGTCGTGATTGGCCTCCTTGCCCAGAATCTCTTAGAGCAACGAGTAGCTATTTAAGGAAATATTATCACCGTTGGAGAGTAAGTTGAACAACGATCACAATTATGAGATTCGTAATGTATTTAAAAAAACTAATTTAAATTTTTCATTTTGTTTACTAGTGTTTTAAATATCGACAAAAATTTGACCAAAGAATGAGAGAAAAAGTCACTGCAAGTTTAATCTTTAAAGGTAAAAAGATATCTTACCTTAAAAGTGTTTCACATCCATTTCGTATCCATTTCGTGGTGACTATGTGAGATTACGGCAAAATTTAAAATGGAAACGAATCGCATCGGAAACTGGAGATCAATATGTTGTTTTTGCCGATATTGTCAATAAAATAACTCGAAGTAGTGGAAAGGTAACATCAATAATTTACCTCTATTTTTATCATCTTTCTAATGCTCAATCTTTTTTGAATATATTTCACCAGTGTGTCCAAAAACTTCTAGTCATCAGTACTTGTTCAATGATTGTTATGGATCAAAGGACATTACAAATTAAATATCGGATTCCTATTTCAGAAATATTCAGGATATCAATGAGTCCTTTTTCAGATGATATTGTCATCATACATGTTCGTTGTGTAGGTTTAAAAAAATTTACTATTATTATCAAATTTAACCTTGCTGTCGTAGATCAAGTACTGGCAGTAATATTTACTGAAATTTGCTAAAATTTCTGATCTTTTTTTTTCAGTCTGAAGCAACTAAACGACGAGGAGCATTTGTAATGGAATCTGGTCATGTTATTGAAATTGTAACTAAATTATTTCTTGTTATACAAAATGCTACAACTAAACAGCCTGAAGTTCAAATAGCTACAGAGTAAGTTAAAACTATCAGTTGATTGTTGATTTGTACAGTTAATACGAGAGAATGGATAAAATAGATTAAGTTTTTTTTTCTTGCCAGATTTGAAGCAAACTTTGGTAAAGAAAATATTCTGGTTTTATTCAGGTGTTCAAATCCCGAGGGCTCTGGCCCAGCCAAGATTATACGCAAAACTGCCAAACTGGAAGTGGTCCTTTGATGAAGATTGGCCTTAATTTATGATCTGTATTAAAACAACCAACAGCACAAAGTTACTTTTTGATCACAGTTTAACAATTAAATAATTTTTTCATCACATTTTGCTCATTCATGAAACCAAGATGCCTAATGATCACGATGAAAATTTGAATCTGAAATATTAAAATGATGCTGTTATTGATTACAATTTAACCTAAGATAACCTTATTCACTTATGGCTCTTGTGTAAAAATGGTTTACTTAATGTGAAAAATCAACAAAAAACCATTCACTGTGATAATAAATCTAATTAATTGGTTGCAATTGGGACAGTTTCTACAGAAAAGAGAGATGGCAAGACGTTTTTTGTTTTAAATAAAATGGATTCAGTTTTCCAAACAATTGGATTTACATTTGCAAGACACCCAAATCATAAGGATCCCGTTTATCGGATGATGATCAATTTTAATTTATACAGATTTCTGTTTAAAAATACCCGACTGATGTCGATGGTACTAGAAGCTGGCCATCGTCTTAATGAATGAAAAATTGATTCGTATAGATTAATTCGCAACAAGGGAACGGGTTGCTATAGACTTGATTACCTATTGTAATTATTATAAAATAGAAGATAAAATTATATATTAATAATATTAATAATTTTGTTTAAAAGAAGGCATTATTTTGACTAATTCAAAATAGACGGGTTTTATTTGATTGTCAACTTGTCATCTGTACCAAGGAGTCAAAAAAGTACAAAATTGCTGATAATGAAGTCGTAATGTTTCATTCGAGTTATGATAACGCATTAAAATAAATATCTTGTATAAGTTCAGTATCTGATGTAAAAATTTTTAAATTTTAACAAAAAAACTTGCTGTCTAGGAATCAGCGTAGTGTAGATTCGTCCAATCGACACGAAGCATCATTTAAATTCCTTTTCAAGTTACAGTCGAGTCCCTGAAATTGTCCATGATCTTTTTTGAGGAGGGGTTAAGATAAACTTCGATATTGACAAAGGAGGGTCTCTCATTTTTTTCACTTTTTTATCATTTCGAGTTAAGATCTAAACTCTTTTTTGCGAATAGATTCAGCAATGAGAATCACAAAAATATTGTTTATTTTTTTCTGAGATCAGCGGTTTTTGAGATGTTTAAGGTCAAAGTGCGCAACTTTCGGGTCTACAGCAGGCCATGCTATAGCATATTAGATACTCATATTTGGGATTTATGCAGAATACAGAGCAATTGCTCGAAAAGTTATCAAAAGTTTTCTATTCACTGCGGCTGTTGAGATATTCAAGCCCGAAAAAAATCGGACAAAAACGTAATTAAGGAAATCAAAATGAAATTTGATGAAATTTACATTGAATATTTATTGAATCAAATGGGTTTTGTGTGCCTTAGCGGCGACACTGTCGCTGTTACGCAACTACAAATTTGTATTTACAATTTGTAATTTCATTTCCATAGTACAGGGTGATCGGAAAGTTTCTGGTGTGAGGGGCTTCCCCTTCAAAGACACTGGTTTGTTGTTTCAAAATAAAGGTTTATTTGTAGTATTTCAGTATTTGATTTGTTTTCCATTACAGTCAACCCTCGAGTTTTTTG